CTCTATTTTCCCTAGACTGAACACTGACCCCATTAATGCTACTTTCTTTTTAGTGTTGTTTTCAAACCACTTTGATGCAGGACACCCTTAGAAAATGGACCCTCGTGTCAGTGGGTCCTCTCTGCTTAAATAAGGGATTCATTAAAAAATGGAGTAAATGAAATGCTTGGATGTATGTGCACTTAGGGCTTCCATAGAAAATAGATTCATCAGTGATTTAATTAATTAATTAATTAAAACACACAAAAATCATCTCTTGTTTCTTGTCGGTACATTTTACTTCACACTGCATAGTTATTCATACCAGGTACAAAGTGTCCTTGCAATCCAGGACCAATTTCTCATGTGCAGTCTCAGTGTGGCACATGAAAACAGCTGGGAGAGAAGTTTCATTTCTCTGGAGTATAAAATGGTTTCAACTAAAAATGATGTCAAAAAGTCAGTACATACAGTGTGAACAACATTGCTGTTACATTTTTGGGTAACATGATTTAACTTAATTTAATTTAATTTTTATTTCTTAAACTTTGAATTGAAGATAACAGAACTCAAAGGGATTGCTTGTGCTCATAAAGCTATACATTTTCACAATATGTGTAGCTGGTTACATTTTCTGAGATACCTTCAACAAGAGCTGCAGGTGAAACCACACTGTCTGCTGGTCACCTGATCGAGCATGTCATAAAAAGTGTATGAGCATTAGAATTGTGAAAACCCTGAACTTGTTCAGCTGCTGAAAAACAGTGCCTCATTGTGCAGTAGACACCAGGGAGCCAAGACTGTGGCCTGTGAAAGCAGCTTTAAATCCCACAGCTTTATAATGTGAAATCCATCTTTGAATGGTCTCCTTAAATTATTATTTGACTTTATTATTTGACTCTTTTCAGAATTAAAAAGATTGATTTCTTTCCTAGAAGAAAGAAGAAAAAAGGTGAAAGATCAAAAAAGAGAATAGACACAGATAACCTTGACTGTGTTGCTGTTTATGAAAACAATCTCAGTTTCATTGTAGGATTTTTAAATTTAGAGTTCTAAGGAAGCCGAAGCTTTTTTGAGTGTCTGCAATTTCTTTTTTAAAAAGTGCTGTCACCTTCATCTCTTTGCTCCTCTTCTGTTTTTCCCATTTGGTGAGAAATAAGTACACTTTTATCGTCATCATCCTTTAGAAAACCGTCTTTTCTTTTTTACTTTTCCCTTTTAAAGAGCTGTTTAGCTTGAATCAATAAGTTAAAACTGCCACAAACTTTGCTTTAAGTTCCTTCTCAATGTTTATACAGTAAATATGTGGCTCAGGGGCAGTTTCACATACAATCACAGCAAACTTCATGGAAAAGCCATTTGAGGCAAAAACAAGATGAACTTAACTACTCTTCTCCTCTATCACCGCCTGGTGGTGGAAAGAACGACCAAACTCCATTGGATTTGCGAGTCCCCTTTGCACCTTTAAGAAAAAGCTAAAGACCCATGAAAGGGTTGAATACCTACACACTGAATGGATGACAACGACAATGAATGATGATGGATGATGACGACAACACCAACGATGATGATAATAATGATGTTGTCAACACCTGTTTCCAATCAGACTTAAAGCTGATATTTTGCACTTACTGATGATGTTTCCTCCTCTCTAGATCCTTCCTTGTGTTGCACATATTCTTGGATGTCTGATGCTTTGGATAAAAGTGTTTGCTAAATGAATTGTAGAATTGTAGAATTAGAAAAGCACAAATACATTTTTTTCTATTGTTGAACCTGATGATTTCTCAGAACCAACAGGCTACTGTATTGGGTTGTAAACTTGTCAAGTATTTTGACAATTATTTGCCCTTTATGCTAAGTTTTGTCTTGTTACAAGACACTAAAGTGTTGAGTTGCTGACTTTGAGGGATAACCAGACAAAGCCAGAACAGAATGTTCTTCAATGTTCTGGTCACCAGGCTGACGAAGTTCAGCTCTATTTGAATTGTTTACACAAAAACAAGCTACATCAATGAATCTAGCAGCTTTCCATAAAGTTACAGTATTTTAAACTACATGTTCCTGGAGTGAAATAAAAAGATAGTATGTGCTGCCCTACTTTCCTGGTGGTCACATTTGGCTGCATACCCTCTCTCCTCATTGGAACATCAACCCTTTGTTAAATAGTTGAGGGTTCTTTGGAAATAAGCACCATTTGGACAAAGGCTACAAGACAACAAAAAAACTACTAGGGGTTTCACAAAAAGACAGTTCAACCCTTGGCCATAATGGTGTTTGTGGGAATGCTTGTTTAAATGTTGCTCACCATCAAGGCAGTATCGGCAAATATTCAAACAATTCACAGCTTTTTAGCCACAAAGGAGGCTGTGTGAATGAACACGATTTCCTTTTAGTTTCACAAATGTACCCTTGGCCTTGCAAGGTTGAATGGAAGAAAGCCTTGACGGTCTAGGTACAAAGTGTGCATCCCACACTCTGACATTGTGTTAAAAAAAATTCACACATCATGTTGAGGACGTGATGTTAGTACTCAAACAACAGCAAGCCTGAGGAGTTGAGCAGAGGGCGTGCAGCCCTTAAAACAATCTACCTTCACATGCAAAATATGCCAAGCCTTATGCCATAATATTGAAAAAATTATGAAGAAAGTTCAGATTGTACTAACAAGCTATGTAGGCTGACTGCCATCGCAAGTAGTCTCATGCTAAATAATCAAGCCAGCTTTGACTTACAGTCAAAACACAATTTGTCTGTCCATGGTCAATGGTAGCGTGAAAAAGTTTGTCCTTAGATTTCAGCTCCAAGAGAATTCCCTTTTCTATTTATTAATTTTTAGCGCTGGAGTTGGCCTTCCACTTTTTTATTAAAAGTTCCTTATCTGCGAAAGTCCCCCTTGAAAATGGCAAGACTATCAAGCTTGCTCTCGTCTGGCGTAGCCACGGCCATGCTTAGCTCATTGCTTCGTCCACAGTACAAGCTAACATAGAAAAAACTTAAACTATAGCCTTCGGGAAGGCCCAGGGCAATCTTTTTTTGGCCCCACCCACCACAAATCAAAATATGATTGGTTAATTCACCTGTCACATTCTTAATAAACACGAGGCATTGCCCCTCTGTCCTGGTTATGAAGTCCTAACCAATGAATGAGCCAACTAACATTTTCTCTGCATAGAGACAACAACAAAACAAATCTGATTGGATAACTCTATTTTCATTTTCATGGTTTCAGGACAGAAGCCCTTTCATTTCTGAAGCAAACTTGATAAAATGTTTTTATTAGAAGACAATAATTATTAAATTAAAGATATTAAATATATCATCATGCGTGATTGAAATCCCCAGCGCACTGGAACGTCCCAAACCTCTGAAATCAGGTAACCCAGAAGGACAGAGCCACAAAACAGCTAACAACATAAAAGCCCCTAACTAAACACAAAACATAAAACTAAGAACTATCAAGAAAAATTAAAAATCATGAACCAGGAGTCCAAATATGACACAATTTGTCCAATTGTTCAAATCTATTTAATAATTATTTTGGGGGGGTTTATTGAGTAATGCATTTACAGCACTCATCAGTAGGTGAAACCATAAGGTGTCTGTGTCACTTATCTCAATACGACTTCGACTAACTGCAATCACCTGAGTCTGTGGTCCAATGAGATCTTTGCTCATTGCTTGTGTACCAGTGGTGCTTTCTTTTGTTGGCAACACAGTCAATTGAATGTTTTGTTTCAACAGGAAAACAAGTTTACTGTAGCAGGGCCATACAGAAATTGACTATTTCAATGAAATGGACAGTGGTTGATGAGATGAGCCACAACAGCTTAGAATAGTCAGAATAAAGGAGAAATGGGCTGGGGGAAAATTAGGAAGAAAAAAAGGGCTACAGATCTCTAGTTGGAACTGGAATTAGATAACATGTGTTTCATTATAAAGATTATTTTTTTATTTTATTTTTTTTGGTCACTGACCCTGTCCTGACCATGTCTATAGTTGTAGAATCAGTAACTCTGTGTCTGGTCACTCCCTTTTTCTCCATCTTCCCCCTAAAGGTCTGGAGGTCTGGAGCCATGAGGATATCCATTTTTTTTCCTTATGCATGCTTCCTAGGTTTGTGTTTGACTTGTCATTGTATGTGTATTTTTTTGCATTTGTCTCTACTTTTTTTTAGCATAATTAAATTGCAGCATGATTATGTTGTTGTGTATTTTTTGGTTATTCTGTGTTTTTGAATTTTTTGAGTTATGGCATTTCTCCTGATGAAAGTCGTATGGGCTGTTGCAGAATATGTTCCCTTGTGAATATAGTCATTTCTTAGTATTTAATTAAAAATAAAACACTTGAATATCGCTTTTGCTATTCAAGGACATAATGAAACCAGCTAAAACACAACACTGATACTGAAAAGTATAACTCCTGCATTTAGCTTGCACTATGGCAACACAGAGGATCAAGTGTGATCTTGACTTTTAGAGGCTGCTTAAGCTGTGTGTAAAGAGAACTCGTGTCTGAATGTTCAGCCTTGATAAGTCATTTTCTTTCAAGGCAAGTAAACATGTTGCACAGAAAAGTGATTACAAAACTGTTGGCAGCTGCTTGTAACACGTTGGTGCTCTGCTGAACTCCTCTGGAATCAGACCTGTTATTAATGAATTGAACATTATGAAACTGTATGTCATAAGGTTCAGTTATAGCTCTAACTACTCTTAATTTGAATTAATCTAAATAGACTAAATGTATGCCACTCAGGGTGCCAAATGTTCCATCTGAAATCCCCCCAAAAAGGATGTTGCCTAAAATATTCAGGATGTTCCTTTAAAAGACAAAACGAGCATAGAATTATGATCGTGATCATGACGTCAGAAGGTAGATTAAATATTTATAGCCGTCAGCCTAAGTGAATATATATATCTTAACAACTTCATTATGGAAGGAGAGGGTGTATGAGCACCGGAATCATGTCACAGGCGAGCAGCACGACAGCACTGGTGAGACTTTTAAGGACTCTGAGGACGCATAGGGCTTTATTTGGAGGATGAAGATGTGCGCACAATTCCTCTGGGACTCGTTGTAGGAGAGTGGCATCAGTAATTGATCCGGATTATTGACTTCTAACTACTTAACAGCAACTTGTTTATATACTTGCCCGTTTATTTTCTTGGAAGCTGCTGAAATCATATTCTGCTCCAAGTTTCTCGCACCTTTAGACAGCCTATGAAAAGAAATAACGGGACTTACGCGCAGCTGATGCCTCCATGGACGCCCCCCCTACCCTCATATGCCAGTGTGTCTGACTTTACAACCTTATTTGTTGCCACACTCCAGCTGCAGACCAACAGAGGAGGGAGACTCCGATGGAAAATCATGCAGCGCGTTGAACCCATGGAGACATGGCACATAGGTTCCTCTCAACAACGAACAGATTTAGAGCCAGATTCGCCTTCATATTCACTGTGTCACTGTCCTGCTCCTATGTATGTTATAGTATTCTTTTCTGTCGCGGCACAATCATGACAAATCAGGGTTACGAGGGGAAACGATGCCCGCCGAGCAAGAACGCAGGAGGGAAGAAACTTCTGGGGAAATTGGACAATTGCGCTTCGCTGGAAGTCAGGTCCGCTCTGGATGCGTCGGCTGCCCAGCGAGGATCGAACAAATCTCCTGACTCATCAGGAAGTCACTGGGCTGACATGAAGTTAAGAAACACGAGTGTGGCGCAGAAATATGGGAATAAGAAGCTGCCTAATGCGTTAATAGTCGGTGTGAAGAAAGGAGGCACCCGAGCGGTGCTGGAGTTCATCCGGATACATCCAGATGTGCGCGCGCTCGGAACAGAGCCGCACTTTTTCGACAGGAACTACGACAGAGGGCTCGACTGGTACAGGTGAGGAACATAATGAAACATCCAGGTATCCATTGGTCCTGTTTCTGAGATAGATGCATTTGTCTCGGTGTATGCTTGGACAGATGTTTTACTTCAGCCCCCCCCCCCCCAAGAGCAGTCCTCGCTCTAGTGGGCACGCGACTATGAGCCAAAATTTTGACATGCTAAAATTGTGTACCTTCTTCTTACAAGGGTAAAAAAAAGATGAAGATACTCCCGAGTTACACAAATATTTCACATTTCTTAGTTTGTTTTAATGATGTATGTGTGCCGTAAACACACACAGACATCGATGTATGTTTGTGGGGTTATTACAATACATACAGAGAAACATTAGTCCCATGTTAACATGCCTGCAACTCTCTTTAAGTAGGACACCAGCACTTAGATCTAAAGTTTGATTCTTCTTTGAAATCGGTATGCTTTCTTTCATGCTGTGGTGCTGAACAGACAGCTCCATGAGGCTGATGTAGTATTAGCTCACACATGATCACAGCCAACAACACAGCTGACACATGCAGCGTCCTGGTTACCAGCTGCTTCCAAACAGGCTACACGAGGACAAAAAACGTTCCTGTGTTGGTGAAGGTGAATAGGCTCAAATCATGCTTGATTTGGTGGCATCACTGTCACATACCTCAGTGTTTACCGCACTTCTTCACTTTTTCAAAAATGTCTAGATGCCCCCTGTTGAATCAGATCGAGTCACCATTCTAGTTCTCACTTTCTGTGTCAAGCGTTTTTTTCTTGAATTTAAAATTAATCATAAATTCAGAAAGATTCTTCTTAACAGAAACTGTCATGCACTGCCAAACTGAATAAAAGAAGTTGCAATCAAGTCTGCAAAGGTCCATCAACAAAAGGCTTGATGACGTTGTGTCAAACTTTTTGACTGATTGATTGGAGCTGCATACCAAAAAGTTTCTGCAGCATTGCTGGCGCAGACTGAGAAGCATTTCTCCCATGACATAGTGCAAGTGATAAAGTCACTGTTCTAAGGCAGCACTGCAACACCCAACAGCAGAGGATGCATCAAGTTATCATGCATATGAGCACCTGCCCATCATGTCTCAGCCTGCAGTGTCCTCACATACTATTGTTATGTTTTGCTTTTATGTAGCCCCGCTTTTCAGTTTCTCTTCATCTATGATTCATTTAAAAGACATTTAAATTACATCTCTTAAGTCTGCACATGCATAATAATTCATTGTTTAGAGATGCTATTCATGTTGAGAGCTAGCTGTTAATACTTCACTCAGAGGGAGAAATAATTGGCTCCTGCTGCATCCGCTGAACAAGTTCCTTTTTGCTTGATTGAAATTTCAAAAATTTCATAAAGCTATATGACGGCAAACATGCCACATTCAAGAAAGAAAAAAGAAAGCTTTCGTGATGTGTTAACCTTAAATGAGTTAACCTTTTGCAGCATGTGTCAGGGGCCTTATTTCATACTATAAATCAAACTGTGAGAAATGTATTCAGAGATGAAAATGTCTGAAAAGATGCAACCAGAACTAAAATAATGAGACATTTTGGATTAGTTCATTCAGAATGAAAATAAACTTACCATAAAATGAAAGTGACAATGCCAGTGTTTTACGAGTGTACTCATGCAGATCCAAGACAATTCAATACACACACACACACACACACACACACACACACACACACACACACACACACACACACACACACACACACACACACACACACACACACACACACACACACACACACACACACACACACACACACACACACACACACACACACACACACACACACACACACACACACACAGCCTGCTATTTCCTTTCATTGGCATGTAAAGGAAAGAGTCTTTTAGCATTTTGAAATCCTCAAATCAAAGAAATGTTGAGCTGCTTAATAAAAGAGAGATTTAAATTTTGTTTTAAGTGTACAAAATGTAGAATTTGACAACAATGTTTTCATTAAAATATGTAAATCCATTATAAATTGACTAAACACATGTTATAATGTTTTTTTGTTCAGTACTTATATTACATAAAACATTTCCAAAAGTTATCAAAGTCAGAGAAATCTGTAATTGTAGGGTTGTAATGAGACGTGTCTTGCGGAGGCGGCTGCCCTGATATGACGGCATGACAGACAGAATGTTTATCGTTGCCGTGGAAACACCTGATGAAGAGTAGCAGAGAGAGCTCCCATGATTCCCCGTTAGCCTTGACGACATCTTTTGTTAATGCAGTTTTAATTGAGAGCCCTCTGGCGGTGAAATCTACATATTGTATCTTTAAAACATTCCCAAAGGACGGACTGTGGTGTTTGTAACTCTAAGCAAGAGAGTTGCTGTTAAATACTTCATAACATGGAGACAGTTAATATGGCCCAGAGATGTTGCCTTACAGTGGTGAGCGTGTTGAATCATTTAAGCAAGTGTAGACACAACGTAACCTGCCACATTTATTAGCCTTCACAAGCATGTGCATGTGTTGCATTTTTCTGTCCCTGTAAATAAAATGTTGAGGATCATGACATCATTCCCTGAACCAAGTTCTACATGAAGTCCATCTTCGTGTAGCTTCATGATGCAATAGGGCCATTTTAGTTCATCAGAAAGCAAACTTTTGGAGCAGTCTTTTGGGTGTTACAAAATGATTTTTTCTCTGTCACCCTAAATTCAACCAAAGATACATAAAGGACCCACACAGATAGGATTCAACTCACAGAAAATAACAAAGCTGAAATATTGTGCACGTCTCACAAAGCTGACAGTTCTTACACTCAAAACAAATGCTTAAACAATACCGCAGATATGTCGACTGTGTTATTCAACCTGACAAGTGACTGAGTGATGTTCATTGTATTGGACCAGCCCTCAGTGATTATCTGTCACAATGTTTGGGTTGTTTGAAAGCACGTCACCCTAAAGTGTCTATTCATTTGATGAACTGTCACTTTTTTTTTTTTTTTTCCAAGAAACATAAAGTATTTGTGCAGTCTACTTGTGTTGTTCTGCTTGGTGCTCAAGTAATCAGCTGTCCATATAAGTACAGTTAAAGGTATATATTTTCACAAAATTCTTGATCAGGCTTAAAGAACCGATCCAATAATCAAACAATGATCAACAAAGGTTACTCAAACATGTGCATAAATGAGATTTGAACTGTATCTCCTGATTCATGAAAAACGATGGAAAAGGAATCTAATTATTATGCCTTGTGTATTGAGCATTAGACATGCAGGCCACTACTTACTGTTAATACATGACTTCATTTCTTAACAAATTACTGAAGATGCCAGTGACTAATTCGGATGTTAATTTGATTAACTCATCCAGCAATGGACATTTATTACTAACCTTAACCTGAGCCAGATCAAGGAATTTCGCAATATTGGTATTTGAACTGTATCTCCTGATTCATGAAAAACGATGGAAAGGAATCTAATTATTATGCCTTGTGTGTATTGAGCATTAGACATGCAGGCCCACTACTTACTGTTAATACATGACTTCATTTCTTAACAATTACTGAAGATGCCAGTGACTAATTCGGATGTTAATTTGATTAACTCATCCAGCAATGGACATTTATTACTAACCTTAACCTGAGCCAGATCAAGGAATTTCGCAATATTGGTGGTTGCCTCGAGGGTCACGTTCTGGAGAGAGACACATGTGTGCTTAAAATGTTACATTTCAACGTATACAGCCAGATTGAAAACTTCGCTGCAATTTTGCTCAGCGCTTCCCATTTCTCCATTCAGGTATGAGTTAGTGTCTGTAGAACCTTGTCGATTTAAGATACATAGCCTTCATTTTGTATTTGTAAGGCTGTTGTTCAATTAGCAGGTCTCACTCGTCTGATCCCACCATTGTCGATTGATTACAGACAGAAAAATAGCTGCAGATGAAAAAGAAGGTGACAAGAGAGAGACAGACAGCAGATTACAGATGGAAGAAAGGGAAAAAACAATAGTGTGTGATAAGTAAGAGAAATGTAGATGATGACAGGTAAACAGTGCAGACACTTAACTGCATGAACTGCATCTGAAAATGTGTGTGAATGAAGCCGTTTGTAAAATAACGCTGAACTTATTGTATCATTAAAGGTATTTCTAGACCATGATCTGGACCTGATCATTGGATTATTCTGCTTCATAACGACATTCAACACACAAAAAAAAAAGTATTATTTTGTCGAGTGGGGTTAGAGTCGATCTCAAGAGAGTAAAACTGAATCACCACTCAAAATCCCCCGCTTGTCTCTGTAAGCCACAAAATATCACACAGATCTCATGACACCTTCAGATATCAATCAACTCCGTCAGCATCCAGGTAACATTTTGTTTTGTGCAGATCTGAAACAATTGGTGACCTTGATCTTATTTCAGGAAGAACCTGAACATATTCAGCAACAGCTTTCTCTAAACTAAAGCTAGATTTACCACTGCATTGCAGCCCCCGGCTCTACAACACTTCATATTATGACATTTCAATCATTTATAACAGTGATGATCTAACCCACGCAAAACATGGTTAGAATACATTTTATGACTGTTAACCAGAGCATAACAAAAGTGCACAAAACAAAATGTTACCTGAGTGCTAACGTAGTTGATGACACCTGACAAGGCCATATGGTTGATGGGAACTTTGTGACAAATACAGATGAGTGGAGGACTTATTTAGTTTTTCTCTTCTGAGAATGAATCCTACCCAACTCCATTAAGCAAATATGTTGTTTTTTAAACATATATGGTTTATTCATTGGTGACATTGATGAACAACTAACTTTTAATTTGATCAATCAATCAAAAAGACCTTCCTCTTTGTTATTTAATATTACAAAAGAGGAGGAAAAAGACCATAATCATTGCTATGTTACAAAAAGCAGGTAAAAGACCTTACTTAAAGACCCAGCTTAATCCATCATGAGCGTAGCACTCTAGCAACATTTAGCAAAAGTTACAGTGGCAAGAAAATACTTCCTTTTAACAGGCAAATCCAGGCTCAT